TGCCACTGCTGTAGTCTCTCTTCTTGTTTATTTTCTTTCTCTTCTAACCACTGCTGTCGTCTCTCTTATTGTTTATTTTCTTTATCTTCCAACCACACGAGGCACTGATAGCTTTTCGAGAAGAGATTTGATGTCAGTTTTTTAATTGCCTGCAAGATGGGGTCCTGGTGGAAATTGGGGAATGCTTCAATTTTTTGCACGGATTTGAATCACTTTTTGGTTTTCTGTTCTACATAAAAACATCTGAAAGGGATAAAAAGCTAAAGCAAGCAACTGATAAGCGAGCCCGATTTCTTGGGGACATAGATAGCTGAGACATGGCTAGAGAAATAACCTTACTTGCTCATCTCTTATCTGATGATGTTATTTCTCCGTTTCAAGTGCGACAGTACCTGGTACAGAAAGATCTGGGCAGAGCATTCCTCAATACCCGAGTTGAACTACAAGTACTGCTCTCAATCATAATTAAAGTTGCAAGTGCCGAACGATCCTTCAGTAAATTGTCTTTGATAAAAATTACATGCGTTCAGCAACTTAGCAGAAGAGACCGTCTGCATTGGCTGTACTTTCAATTAAAAGTAGAATTGTAAGACAATTAAGCTATTCTGGAGTAATCGATAGATTTGCTTCAGCCAAAGTTCGCCGCGTTGACCTATAAAATGGTAAGATACATTTTATTCTTTGACAATTAAAAAACAATGTTAGCCATTGTTGTAATTTGTTTTATAAATTTAAGACCATAATTTGGAAATATTAATTTGTATACAGTGCATTTGATCCGCAAGGGTATGTGTTTTGAGATGTTATTATTATTTAAATTAACGGTGAAATTGTAGTAACAAAGTAATTGAAATACAGTTGCTTTTGATTTTCATGAGATCAATTTTAGGTTTAGTGGTACTTTGCACGTTTTTTGTTTCTTATATACCGGGTATATATATTTTGGGTGGAGGGGTTATTTCACGCTCTTACACAAGAGCTCAGCAAAGTTTATCACTGGCCCTGGTCCTTGTTACATTCTTTGATCATGCCTTTGCTTCAACTGCAACTTTATCCTCTCCAGTGCAAATTCCACGTTGCTCAGAAACTGCTCTTTCGTGAATATCACGTTTTAGAAACTTCTTAGCACCAGTTAATAAAATGGGAAAGTAATCATGTTCTAAATAAACTCTACAGTAACTAAACTCTGGTTATGACAACAAAATTATCCTGATAACGTAATGTATGGTATTCAGGTGCACTGATATCTGCCAGATAATTACAAATATAAACAAAATGCAGATTCCCAAAACGTTATGCACAAAATGGTTTCAAACTCAAGAAGCAAAGGAAATAGTAAAATGGGAAGTGTATAAATAAAACAGAATTTATTATTCATATACAATGTCTGTCTTTACTAACTCCCTACTTCATATTCATTAAAGAAGAATCACACTAGCTGCTAGAGCAAGAGAGAATGTAGGAAGCGAAATATCTATACAAGATAAAGATGAGACTAGGTTATATATCTTTGTATAGAAAGAAAAAGAGATATTTAGAATCATGAAGATACCTCACTTTTGAATCAGATCAATGTCATGGTGTGGTATTTCACAACCCTTAGATTATCTACGTCAACTAAAATTCCTATCTTGATAATAAAATTAGAATATTTTTATATACTACATCTGAAGAAGCCGCATAGGCGAAACTTCGGTTAAAATAAAAGTTCTCTTATAATTGTCTGAAGTGTAAAGGTAGTTTTTTCTAACTTTATTATCTAAGTATGTAAATCCCTCCAGTATGCACTAGAAATTTTGTAAGACAATATGTAATTGTCTTACAACATATTCGGAAGATATAAATCCTCAACTCATACTATTTTACATAACTTCATGAAATTAGTGCGATCCATCTCTAGGGGGATTGCAAAATAAACAAGAGACACTACAGCAGTGGTTGGAGGAGAAAGAAAATAAACAAGAAGAGAGACTACAGCAGTGGTTGGAAAAGAAAGAAAATAAACAAGAAGAGATGTTACAGCAGTTGTTGGAGGAAAAAGAAAAGAAACAAGAAGAGAGACTACAACAGTGGCAAATGGAACAAGAAAGGAAACAAGAAGTACAAATGCAAAACATTAGTAAATTTCAAATCGAATTAGATACATTAAAGGATTATCTGTTGTCTTTTACACAAGGAGGATACATCAACCATCGACTTA